TCAAACCGAAAAGATGCTTCGCTCTGGTTTGCACGTCGTGCCTCAAATTGGAAATATTTAATAAAAAAAAGCTTGCGTCGGCTTAATTGCATTGATAATTACGCTTTGAGACGTCTCGAAAAAAGGCGTGATAAGGCGCTATATCAAATGCAAGGATTATTATTATTATTAATTATATCAAAGCTTACCCACCTCCCCACCCTCCCCCCTCGCCATTATCTGCTTAATATTTTATCCTGACAGTGCGTGATCTCATTAAAAACCTCACCACGGTAAACTGCCATTACACTGACAACCTATAGCAGCTTTCACATCGATTCAGAGATATACGCATTGTTGCGCAGAGATAGGAGAGAGCAAAGAAAGAATCATGTTCAACTCCGCCCCCACCACCCCCNACCACCACCCCCAACGCAACTCTTCCTCAGAATAATAACAATAATCCTCACATTTTATACGGGGCCTTACCACGTCGTTGAGACGTCTCAAAGCGCTTCACAGGATACACTGTAAAGTGAATTGACCGCGTGTTTTGTGACGACATCCGAAGGCACTGTTAAACGGCGCTATATCGAATGCATTATTATCGCAAGGATTATGACGGCAATGATGATGATGATGAAGATGGCTGATGTAGATGGCCCAATGGCTCTACTTGGCAACAGCCTTGACTAAGTGCAGGAGAGTACGAGGTTGTAACTGATTTTGAGTCTCAGACAATATTGTGACCAGCCCCCCCACCCCGTCCTACAACCCTCCCCCACCCCACCCCAACCACCCGCAACCTTTTGTTCTGCTGTTGTTTAGTATCCAGGCGAATTGCTCGATTGAATTGAGTTCCTCCACTGATCCCCATTCTAATTATAGCGGCACAATCGACGGCTGATGAAATGTGGGAGCGAGTCTGCCAAGAAGCATTCTGCTTGATCATATTGCAGCTCGGAGGAGCTCGCCACCAAACAGAGTCAGAGGCTAATGCACCATTTGGCCTAAATACGAAGCCCTCAACACAAGCATCTTGATAAGGCGCTATTGTCGAATGCAATAATTATTATTATTGTTATCTTTGCATTGCCTTGGTAGGATATCTCCAACACCTGTTGTCTCTTGTGGAATCTGATTAGACTATGTGTTGAATATTCTGCTTCTGTAGGCAGTACTTGGTACCCCAATATATAATATATAATAGTAATCCTGCGCCTAAAAAAAAATAAAATAATAAACTGGTCACTTCAATCTACGGCTGTTTGAGGGACGCTGCTGTGCGCGATTGGCTGCCGCATTTCGCCCACAAAATACACCACTCACTCACTTTGCTTTGTTCTGTGAATCGCTTCGAGTCATCTCAACGACGTGCTAAGGCGCTGTATCAATAATATCAAATGCAAGGATTATTATTATTATAATGTGTGTGCAATACAATATCTCCTTCTATCAAATGGAAGTATTATTATATTATTATTATTATCCGGGTCCTACCTGTGGGTGGGTTGGGAGAGACAAGACTGGGGAAAAGGCCTGACTGAGGTGGAGTGCTGTGTGGATAGAGCCACTCAGTGGAACTTCATTAAGACTCTCCGTGTTAATGAGGATTAAAGCAGCCGTGACAGAATCCGACCAGGATCTGGGCTGACATTATTCCTCTCTTTCCTCCGCAACATTTTCCTCCTGTTGTTGGACGGAAATCGAGCGGAACGCAGACATTAGACATGGAAATCCGATTCAAATTAGGCTGATGGTTGTACATCAGGAGATTAACAAGCCATTAAAAGCGCTCGGAGATGAGATGCTGATTTTTCACATAACTGCAAATTTAGTAGGCAGTGGCCATACCAGTTTGACGTCCGTTCCTTTCTTCAGAGCGGGGATAAATTGCTCAGGATAAGACTGCTATTCACGCGGATATCTCGATCTTATTGTGGATCATTCTTAAACCCTGTCTTAATGTGTGGAGTTCTGTGGCTCAGAGGTTAGAGCACTCGCTTCGCAAGGTTTGATTCCCCGGCAGGGCGAAACGTTGGTCAAGTTTCCTTACTCCGCACACGCACACACACACAGACACATGCCTCTGTTTACCTAGCAGTAAGTAGGAACCTTCTCGTTAAGTCGATTGCTTTTCCGGGGGTAATAATTTGTCAAAACAAAAAATTGGTTACTCCATCCACGACTGTTTGTGCGACACTTCTGTGCGCAATTGGCTGCTGCGTTGCGCCCACAAAATATACAGTTAATTCACTTTACAGCACACCGTGTGAAGCGCTTCGAGACGGCTCGAAGACGTGATAAGGCGCTGTAACTTCATAAGTTCATCAAAGCAGTATAACACTGACGTTAGTGTAACATAATGGGTTTGATGGCCTCCCGCTTGCGGTAGATTTCTATAGTTCTTCTCTCTCGGCCATCAAAGCCAACTGGCTCTCTCTCTCTTCTCTCTCTCTCTCTCTCTCTCTGTGTGCGCCCTTTACAGTACATACAATGCCATTTAGCTGACATTTCTATACTCTAGACCTTTACTAAGTACCGCCTGTGGCTGAGATGTATGGACACCATTCCCCCTCCCTCCCAGCCCAAGGCCAAGGCTGGCGGGGGAGGTAGAGCAGGCCTGTAGAGCTTGTTAAGCGGACAGGTCGATATGGCGTTAGCAGGTCACAGAGCTAGGAAGGAGCAAGGCCACGGAGCGCTTTGGAGGGCGAGGATGAGGATTTTTAACTCTATCCTCTGGTGGGGTGGGCCGGGCCGGGCAGGTGGGTGAGGTGGAGCAGACCGGAGCCTGCTGACTGGCACCGTTGAGAAATCTTGAGGATTATCAGCTTCTACCTTCTCTCCTCAGAAACCCCATTGATTTTCTCAAACATCCTAGGGTCACGCTGGGTCGGCTCTGCTCTGCAGAACGACCCTGCCCCTGGCTAAAAAAAAGAAAGAGCTCACAATCCCATCCTGAATTCCCCTTCAAGGCATCCTCTTGCTCTTTTTATCGACGTGAATTAGCTTACATTATTGCAAAATAATGGAGTCCCGTAGTGTATTGGTTAGAGCACTCGCCTCGCAAGCGAGATGACCCAGGTTTGGTTCCCGGCCAGGTGGGGCGAAACCTTAGGCAGGTTTCCTTACTCCTTTCCTTACTCCACGTACACTCCTGTTTACCCAGCAGTAACTAGGACCGGTTTATTATTTGATTTGATTCGAAGGAATTCCTTAACGGTTATTATGCTTTGCTGAACGCACCAGACGCAGTGGATGACAACCCGGTGCTGGGAGAGGGTTAAACGGACGCAGAGCCCAGCAGGCTGACCAGGGAGAGAATCAGTCGTGTGTGAACTTTGCTCCTTGACAGCCAATATACACACACCACCATCAAAAAAAAACACCTTTAGTACTTTTTATCTGTTCTGCTTCTTGGTTCAATAATAGCCCGAGGCTATTCTATTTAGTTTAGATTAAGACTTGCCTCCCTGAGTAACAGGGAGAGGCTGAGAATCGCCACCTCTGCTCTTATTTGGGAGCGGGTGAGGGCGTTATTGGTCGGAGAGTAGCGGTTCGCAAGGGCGGGGGAGAGGGACAGGGAAAAGCTGCAGTTAACGCAGGGAAACCACAGCCGATAGCAACCGCAGAAATTCCCAACAGAAATCTAAATGCCTTCCAACTGTTTGGCAGCAATTCCGAAACCAAGTGTTATTGTATCACCGCCTTTAACTCTCTCGTTACTTCATATCCTTCCCATCTGATGACAATAACAACAACAACAGCAATCCTAATCGTTGCATTTGATACGGCGCCTTAACATGTCGTCGAGACGTCTCAAAGCGCTTTGCGGGATATGTTGGAAAGTGTAGTGACTGTGTAATTTGTGGGGAGCGAAACACGGAAGACAATAGCGCACAGCAGTGCCCCACAAACAGTCGTGGGTTGAGTGACCAAATTATTACGATTTAAAAGAATTTTTTTTAAGGAATCATTACCCTCGGAAAAACGATCCGCCAATTGACAACCGCGTTCCTACTGACTGCTGGTAAACAGAGGTGTGTGTGTGTGGAGTAAGGAAACTTGCCCGACGTATCTTCTGTGAAGCGCTCGGAGACGACTCGAAGACGTGATAAGGGGCTGTATCAAATACAAGGATTTTTTTATTAAGATGGGGCAGAACTGTGGCAAACTCTTCAATTAAAAAGAAACTGGGCTTTCAAGTGAAAGCGGAATTTCCCAAGACCTTACGCTCACTCAAAGACATTCGCTGAGTTTAATTCAGCAACGAGATGGCGAATTGAATAAAGCAGCATTAATTCGATAGACATATTCACAGCACGGGTTAGTTTCCACCAGACACTGCAGACTGCTTTTGCTTGCCACCTTGTGGCTTGATTGAGATCAACACAGAATGAGAGAGCGAGAGAGAGAGCAAATAATCTTAATAATAATAATCCTTGCATATGATACGGCGCTTTTCACGTCTTCGAGACGTCTCAAAGCGCTTCACAGAATACACTGTAAAGTGAATTGTCTGCATTTTTGTGGGCGAAACGCGGCAATCAATTGCGCACAGCAGCGTCCCCACAAACAGTCGTGGATTGAAGTGAGGGGGGCAAAGCAGAGGATAGGGATTGTGGGGGAGAGTTCCAGAGTTTCGGGGGCAGAAGAGGATGAAGGCACGGCCACCGACGGTGGAACGGAGGGCACGAGGAGGCCAAAGCCAGCCGAGCGGAGGCAGCGGGCGGGGTAGGCAGGACAAAGAGGTAGGGAGGTGCGGGGGCATGGAGGCATTTGAAAACGAGGGAGAGGATCTTGAAATCGATCCCTTCGGTGGTGGGGGTACGGGGTTTAGTGTGTGTGCCTGGGAGCCGGTGGAGCCTGGCTAGGAATGGGCCAGGGTTGACCTGAAAAGGCAAATAGGGTCTGGGTTTAATGTTCCATCTGAAGGATGGCATTACACAGCACATCCCCCTCTGCCCTGTGCTGAAGTGTTAGCCCCAGATCATGAACTCCCTGATGTGGATTCCTCTTACCTCTCTTATCGACCCCCATTGGAGACTCGGCCTTTGAATGAAACGAACCTCATTCAGCATCTGAAAAGGAAAGGCGAGTTCATGTGAACCTTTCGTCTTCAAATCCCCTCGTGCCCTGGCACCTCCCTACCTATCCTCTTCCTCTAGCCCTCTTCTGCCTTGCCCCCTCCTTCACCATCTTCAAGTCGCGCCGGAAGACCCTCCTCTTCGACCTGTGCCTACGGTCACCCCCCCACCCCACCCCCACCGGCTTAGCATCGTGCTCCGCCACTGTCAAGCGCTCTGGGACGCTATCCTGCGTGATTGGATTGAGGGGCGCTATATAAATGCAAGTTGTTGTTGTTGTTGTTGGCCAAGTCTCCTTACTCCCCACTCCTGTTTACCAGCAGTCAGTAGGAACCCAGTTGTTAGTCGATTGGCGGATCACTTTTCCGGGGGTAATAATCCCTCCAACAAATAAAATTGGTGAATCTATCCACGACTGTTTGTGGGGGACGCTGCCGGGTTTCGCCCACAAAACATACAGTCACTCTATTTTACAACATATTCTGTGAAGCGCTTTGAGACGTCTCAATGGTGCGGTAAAGCACTGTATCAAATGCAATGGTTTTTATTATTATTATTGTTATTATTATTAAGTTAACGTGAACCTTTTGCCAGAATTTTTTATTTCACGTTCCCTGCAGTTTTTCCCTGAAAATGCCAATGACAAGTTTCCACCACTGGGTGTCAGAATGTCCCAACTCACCCACAATTTCCGGAATATTAGCCTTCCCTTCCCTCTCGGCACATCGCTGCTCTCGCTGACTTGAGAGGCAAGTTCTCTCTCTGTACAGCGAGGTTTGTTTATCCAGTGTCAAGCTGTTGGAGCCTGGATTTGTTCCATGTTGACAGACCATGGCGACAGTTGCAAGGCAGCACTACGTGAGGACCTCAAGCCGGTGGCGAGGAGCCAATATGACGCGGCACAACTAGACTTCCAAACGGCCTTCACAAAGCTCCATACGCTAAACTCCTTCACAAACCGAGGTCTCTCGCTACCAAAGCACAAGACTTGGAAATCGATACAGAATTTTTTTTGTTTTAATCAGCCGGGTGTCTGGCGCAGGCGGATGGATACCCATCACCCGTCACCGTTGCTTAAGAGTCTCCAAACCAAACTGAGTTTTCCACGCATCCCACGTACACCTGGAAATTCCAGAGATAGATTTTTGGATGGAATGTGCACTCTCTCTCTCTCTCTCTCTCTCCCTTTCTCACTGGAGGAATGCATCCCGCGTACCTAATTCCGGAGAGTATTAGGTACAGTTGGCAAGAACTCAAGAGAGTGTGTTGGGGTAATTGCTGGATTCTAACCAGATAAAACTAGCTCTAACACACCAGGACCAACCTGCCCGCTGGGACTTTGGCTTGTAGGGTTAGCAGGTTTATCTGGAGGATAAGCTTGGCGCACTCCCTTCTTGCGTCAAATATTCCCTCGAGTTTAGGAGGTTGAGGGATGATTTAACTGAGGTTTCAATAGGGTAGACACAGAGCAATTGGATGGGGGAATCCAGGGGGCATCAAGGAGCATAGCCGGAGCCGGAGCCTTCTGAGGAGAGGGAGTGGACAGGTCAATATGGCGTTAGCAGGTCATGGAGGAAGGCCGTGGAGGGTTTTGAAGGCGAGGTCGAGGATTTTGAACTCTATCCTCGGGGTGGGGGGGGGGGGGGGGTGGTAGTCAAAGAGTTAAATGTTGCTGAATGATTGAATCACAGAGCAGCCGGTACGGCAGTCGCCAGATTCACAGAGGAAAAGGAAATGAGAGATCAGGAAATGGGAAGAATGGATTCTAATTTTATTGGATAGGAAACGTGCGTTACCAAAGAGGAATGAGTAAAATCCTTATAACGATTACAATAACCTTACGAGGTGCTACGTAGATGGTGTGTGACCGTCTGGGAATGCTATACTATCAACAGGGAAATTCAGATTGCACAACAAACCGCAAGAACACACCTATTGTCCTAAGTAAAGTCTACAACTTCCCTAAAGCATGACTCAACAACCTCTCAAGCAGTTTCTGCGTTGTTGCCTTTATACTCAAGCCGTGTAGTGTAGTGCTCAGGCACAAAGACAATGTCAGACCACACCGAGGTCCTGCATGAGTTCTGGTTACCACAAAATAAACGGCTTGAGGCAGCGAAGCGGAGAGCATCAATAAGGGTTCCCTAGGAATAATAATAATAATCCTTGTGTTTCATCCAGCGCCTTATCACGTCTTCGAGACGTCTCAAAGCGCTTCACAGGATACACTGTAAAGTCAATTGCCTGGATATATTCACGGAATATGCTGTATCTTAAGCGCTCCGGGACTCTAGCCCGTGTGAAGGGCGCTGTGTAAATGCAAGTTGTTGTTGTTGTGCTTTGTGGGCGAAACATGCCAGCCGGTTGCAGGGTCCCACAAACAGTCGTGGATTAAGTAAGTGACCAAATTATAATTTTTAAACAATTGATGGAATTATTACCCCCCGGAAAAGCGATCCGCCAATCGACTAACAACCGGTTCCTACTTACTGCTCAGTAACTAGAGGCGTGTGTGTGTGTGGAGTAAGGAAACTTGCCTAAGGTTTCACCCCTGATTAATGTTTTTCTCTGCCCGCCCGGGAATCGAACCGAGGTCCTCTCGCTTGTGAGGCCAGAGCTCTAACCAATAAAATACAGGACTCCATGTAGATTAGGTACAGAGCGTGTGGAGTGAGGAAAGTTTCACCCTGTATGGGAATCGAACCCAGATCCTCTCGCTTGCGAGGCGTGGGTGCTAACCACTACGCTACAGGACTCCACGAGTGCACAACTCTTCACAGTAATCGGTTCCAGCTGCTGATCGCTTTCTAAAGAAATACTTCTTGGTTCCGTCCTGTTATTGTAAACCATTGCAAGGATTTTGCTCATTTCCCTTGGATTATTTCACTTCCTTTTGGACAAAGTGGACAGAATGGGAAGTGCGGTAACAAGCACAAAGATAGTGAGTTCAGTGATGGGAAGCAGAATAGCTCTCTCAAGTAGATAACCTCTCGCCCCCTCTCGCAACGAAAACAAAACACTGTACTTGCGCAGGATTTGACACAGGGGAAAAAGCGTTCAGCAGATTTTGGGGGCAATTGTACTGCATACAAACAAATGCGTTGAAAAATAGCTTTTTCAAATGAGGCGTTAAAATTGGACTCTCACTGCCTATTTAGGAGTAAATAAGAGACCCTGTGGCGCTCTTGCAAAAGAGAAGGGAGTTTCTCCCAATCGCTAGCCAACAACCCTCCAGATAAAGTCATTCAATTCCTGGATACGGATAGGATCTTGGCTGCTGTGTTTGCCTGCAAATACACTGAATTTTGCACAATTCATCAATCTAATCTGGGTTTTGGAAGCTAACTACTTTTAACAACTGCAGAAATTTGGCTTCCAGACTAATAATAACAATCCTTGCATCTGGTATATATAGCGCCTTATCACATCGTTGAGACGTCGCAAAGGGCTTCACAGAATGTACTGTAAAGTGGATTGACGAGACTGCGTTGAAGAATCTTTGAAAGAATTCTGTGCGACGTTGCAATGTGAAATAAAAGATCTGAGGAGGAAAAGAAAGTCTGTTCGTTTATCATATGAAGGTAGTTTGTATAATCTCACTAACTGGGTAGGGTTGCAAGTTTCCTTACTCCGGGCGCACGCCTCTGTTTACCGAGCAGTAAGTAGGAACCCGCTTTTCCGGGGGTTATGATCCCTTCAAAACAAAAAATACATTTTAAAAGATATTAATAATTTGGGTCACTCAACGCACGACTGTTTGTGGGGGATGCTGCTGTGCGCCATTGGCTGCCGGGTTTCGCCCACAAAACATACAGTCACTCCATTTTGCAATATATTCTGTGAAGCGCTTTGAGACGTCTCGAAGACGTGACAAGACGTTGCGTCAAATGCAAGGATTATTATTACATTGGGGCGGGTTGGAGAGAAGGACAACAACCAGTCCAAGGGAACTACCATACCGGCTATAAATCGCTCAAGATTCTGAAACAGGATTAAAAATGATTCTCTGCCGCAGATGTTAGCAGACCTCAGTGATGCCCTGGCCAACAACACAGGAACACGGAGATGCCAAACAGGGAGGGTCACCAGCTTGGTTTTGATTTGGGTCAAAGACTTAAACGCCTGAGGAGGAAATCGAGAGATCACTTCAATGTTTCCCCCAAACTCTCCAGCCTCTGCACCTCACACCGCACTTCCCTCCGCATTTGTTCTGAAGGACAGCTGTGCGACCGGCATTGTTCACAACCTATACAGCTGGCACACTCCTTTCCCTCGCCAAGTTTCAATAAAATGCTTAGAGATGATAATTATAAAAGGTTCATGGTGGACAATTGACAACTAATAATTATTGTAATAATTCTTGCGTTTGATATAATGCCTTAACGCGTCGTTGAGACGTCTCAAAGCGCTTCACAGAATATACAGGAAAATCGATTGATGGTGTGTTTTGTGGGCGAAACACAGCAGCTAATTGCGCACAGCAGTTATCCCACAAACAGTCGTGGATTGAGCGACCAATTTATTTTTTCGGGGGTGGGAAATTACCGCCCCCCCCCCCGGAAAGCAATCCGCCAATACGGCTAACAACCAGATTCCTATCTACTGTTAGGTAAACAGAGGCAAGCGTGTGGAGTAAGAAAACTTATCTAAGGTTTCACCCTGCTCAGGAATCAAACACAGCGTGGTGTGCACGCAAGGCAAGTATGCTAACCACTACGCTACAGGACTCCAGGAGACTAATGAAAGGAAAACGCTTAAAGGAAAATATTATATTATTGAACAAAAGGGTGTGTGGAGTAACTGGGAAAAAAAAAGTTACGCATACAGAATGACGTCTCGGAACGATGCACAATGCCAGGGCAGAGATTCGAGCATGGCACGGAGGGTATTATTGACTGAGCAAATCGGACACACCCCAAATGTTGCTGAACATTGACTACAGAACCGCCACAGAATTAATTTTAAGCGGACTAATCTACAGCCTATCCCTTGACATTCAGACATGCGGGTTTCACGGAAATGGGAGGAGGCCGTTCTGGCCCTGGAGCCTGTGATGCCATTCTATTAGATCATGGCTGATCTGTATCTTAACTCCAATTAGTCAACTTTGCCCCATATCCCTTAATGCCCTCACAAATAGCTATCCGCCTCAGTCTTGAAGATGGGAATGAATTCAGCCATAACCCACAGCCTTTTGGGGGAGAGAGGGAGAGAGTTCCAAATTTCCATTAGCTTTTGGGTGAAAAACTGCCTCCTAATTTCACTCCTGAATGTCCTTGCGCTCATTTTAAGATGATGCCCCCTTGTTCTGTATTCCCCCACCCACCAGAGGAAATACTTTCTCTGTATCTACCCTATCGAATCCCTTTATTATTTTAAAATCCTCAGTCAGATCAACCCTCAACCCTCTAAGCTCAAGGGCACAGAGATCAAGTTTCCAGCAAAATTCAAGACAAAATTCAGTTGAGTTTAACGTAGTCCTTTATTCCCAGTTTTTTTTTATTGGGGCTTGGGCGGGGAAAGGAAAAACTTGAAACAGCACACAGTAATTTTTCACAAAGCGATGCAAGGATTCGTTTCATTAACTGTAAATAAGCATTCCATTTGTCTTGGATCCTAATCTTGCCAAACCTGCTTTGCCGCAAAAAAAAACATGTTTATCTGAAACATAAATCTGTATTCCCACTGTTCTCTCCCACAACACAGAGACAACAGTTCATTAGATAGGAAGCCCTGCAGATTTGAGGGCCCGAAATTCCACCTACTCTTTGGATGTAACCCATTTTCACATCAGGAGAGCATAATAATAATAATCCTTGCATTTGATACATGGCCTTATCATGCCTTCAAGACGTCTCAAACCGCCTCACAGAATATACTGTATATTTTGTAGGAGAAATGCGGCAGCCATTTGCGCACAGCAGTGTCCCAGAAACAGTCGTGCAGTACATTCTGTGAAGTGCTTTGACATGTACTAGTTTAGGAGACTAAAACCAGCTCTTCCCCTGGGCACGTGGGCCTGTTGGAAAGAAGATGTCACAGTTTCAAATGATTACGATGGTACAGCAACGAGAGGAAGCAGTTTAATGATTATGTATATAAACACACAGGCAATAGTAATGGTTTCAATCACTGATCATAATTCAGATTTCATTTCGAAAGGGAAGATCATTCATTGTTAGCACGGCTTCGAATCGGAAATCAAGTTGGCTTGCCTCAAGAGGATACATCTCAACCAAACGTTCTGGCAGAACAGAACTTTGCATTGTATTGTTCAAGAGCCTTCTGCCATCGTGCCAAACAGTTACTCAAGCCTCCTGCCAGGCACCGTCAGTCAGACATTGCTTCTTAGCTCTCCTGGACCTTATACTCGTCCATTATTCTCAAAACGTCATCTAGTATGGAAGGCCCCAGATCGAGATCGAGCCCCAGGACTGATCCGGAATCGCTCAGGAACGAGCCAGAGGGGAAGAGATTTTCGTCGCTCAGACCCGTCTCGCTGTCCACGCTCAAGATCCTCTTGCCACCCAGCTTCCCAGTCACCGAGCATTCCGAGGACGTGTTTGACGTCGTGGCGGAGAAGGAAAAGGAGGATACAATCGTCTTTGCGAAGCTGGGAATCACAGACATCTCTGTGCTGCTGTTGAAGTGAGCGGCAGCGCATCCAACAGACAGCGACCTCTGACCAGGACCTTCCTCCAGGTGTAGCCGAGGTGGCTTTGGAGGAGCTTGCTCTTCTTCCTGGGTTTCCTGCACTCCAGTGAAGAGCGGGAGGGAGACTGCGTTCTTCAGCAGGGTTTGGAAGCCTGGCGTCCCGCTTTGAAGACTCTTCTTTCGAACGTACTCCTCTTGGATCATGCTCTGAGACGTGGGGCACCTCTTCACGCTGGGCAGCACGTCGTACTTTCCCTGCAAGAAGGAGATGTCCCCAAACATGTCCCCCTCGCCGTCCCGCCCAATGTGAGCACTGTGACGGAAGTCACCTAGAGGGGGGCTGATCATATCACCAGAGAGGACATCTCGGAGCTTCAGTTTTTTGCCCCGTTTGGGAGTTGAGGTCTTTAAGTAAATGGGGGTTTTTGCAGGCATGTTTCCCAGTTTGGGGCAGAAATACCCAGATAAGGATCAAGAGATAATCTTAAGAGAGAATGCCGAGCCAGTTCTCTAAAACTCTCCACTGACGCTTGCTCTGTGGTCAAATCCTCTTGAACTCCAATCTCATTACAGTGAAGGTCCCTCACCCCAATCCATCGTTACTTCGACAGAGGCTTTGATGTGGGCAGAGATTCCACAGGTAAAAATGTCAACACCAGCAGGGTGCCGAATATGTCACCTTATCTTGATCCTGCAGCCTGTAGACATACAAAAACTATTTCAGTCTCAGAAATGCACTAAACACTTTACTAAGCACAGAAAGGACTTGCATTTTTAACAGCACCTTATCAAAACATCTTAAAGCACTTTAAAACCCACGACTGTTTGCAGGACGCTGTTGTGCGCAATTGGCTGCCGCGTTTCGCCCACAAAATATACAGTCAATTCACTTTACAATATAATCTGCGAAGCACTTTGAGATGTCTTGAAGAGAAAATAAGGCGCTCTATCAAATTATTATTGTTAAAATATTTACTATCAACAACAAATGACGTTTACACAGCAGCTTTCACATCCGGAGGATGTCCCAAGGTACTGGACAGCCAGGGATTTTGTATCAGGATATATATTTATATATAGGGGTAGAAGGGTGACCGAAGGCACGGTCAAAGAGGAGGGTCTTGAGACTTGCCTTGAAGGAGGCAATGGGGTGGGAGGGGAAGTGAGGCGCAGGGATTTTCAGATGGAGTTGCAAAGGTTGGGGGCACAGAGGCTGAAAGAAGGCAAATATCGGGGGCTACGAGCACTTTTGTATTTGTCCAAGGACGTACATGGCTTGTCAGGAAGCTGTTTGGAAAGGGTCCACATGAACAGATTGAAGTTCAGCCAAAACAGACTGTAGATGGGAAATCAGTTGACAAGAGATTTGAGGTTTTGTTGGATTTGTTGACCTTTCCCAATAAGGAATTTCAAAGATCACCATAACATACAATCCTCGACACACACCATTCAGGGTGGTACAACCTTTTGGCCGCTGAGGGCCGAATGCTCTATTTGAGAAACGCCTGTGAGCCGCTTAAACAATATTTTCGTGTTTGCCTTCCAGAAACATAACGTATAATAATAATAATTGTATTTGATACAGTGTCTTTCACGTCTTCAAAACGTCTCAAAGCACTTCATAAGATATACTGTAAAGTGAATTGACTGTATATTTTGTGGGCGAAACATGGCAGCCAATTGCGCACAGCAGTGTCCCACAAACAGTCGTGGATTGAGTGATCAAATTACTATTATTTATTATTTTTTGGAGGGATTATTAAAACAGTACAACAAGAGGACACAGGTTTAGAGTTGAACAAGTGCAGAGATTGTGCATTTTAGTCCTTCTATCTGTGTATAACCGTCGGCAGCTCCTCAACTTCACCCCAAGTCATATTTAGTTTGAGAAAACAAATCCAATTAGCATCAGCTGTGTGTGAATGAAGTCAACGTGCTTTGCATTCCTAACCTATTCCCCAATCTCAAGGTCACGTGGAATTGGGAAATGTGAGTCTCTTTCTCTCTCTCATTTTGCCTCTTTTACATTCAATTCTTTCAGCTTGCTACTTTGCTCTGAAGAGGTCATTTTGTAACTTCCACAAAATAATAATAATCCTTGCAATTGGTGTAAAGCCTTATCACATCTTCGAGACGTCTAAAAGCGCTTCACAGAATATACTTGTAAAGCGAGTATGCACTACAGGACGCCACAAATGAACATAAGAGTAGCTAAGCTACCCTTATGCTCATACTAAACCGTTAAGCTATTGAACTATAGTCTATCTATTTTTAGGTTATAGCAGATCGTGCGATCTTTGCCCCCATCTTTCCTCCATTGAACACCCTTCCTCATTGCTGACTGATCAAACAAAACGTAGCGCTCTTAGGAACATAGGAACAGGAGGAGGCCATTCAACCTCTCAAGCCTGTTCCGCCATTGTATAACATTATGGCTGATCTGTACCTCAACTCCAATTACCCACCGTTGCCCCCTATCCCTCGATACCCTGACCTAACGAACATCTAACCACCTCAGTCTTGAAAATGTGAATGGGCAGGGAGAGAGAGTTCGTGATTTCCGCTCCCCTTTGGGTGAAAAACTGCCCCTGATTTCACTCCTAATTTCACTCGCTTGTTCTGTATTCCACCCCCCTCCACCCCCTCAGATGGAAATGGGTTAGGGTGGATCAGAAGATTGTGGGTTTAAGCCCCACTATGCATCTTGATCTCACAGTCTAGGCTGAACTCAAGCGCTGCATTAACAAACATATCCTTTGGATGAGACAAACAGATGTTCTCTCCGCCTGTTCGGATGGATGTTAAAGCTTCCATAACGCTGTATGGAAAGAGAAGGGAGTTTCTCCCGGTATTCCTGGCCAACAAGCCTTTCAGATAAATTGGCTCTTCACTTCATGGCTGTTTGTGACACCTTACAATGTGTTGCTAAGTTTGCCTACAAACATACTTTACGATACCCCGAAGCACTTTCTCATTATTTTGATGTCACAGACCAAGTCAAATGTAAGGTAATTATTATGTGGTACGGCATTGTGCAAACGTAATTTGTTCAATTGAGTAAAAGGCCCCATAGCAAAATGTAGGACACTGCTGTGCACAATTGGCTGCCGCATTTCGCCCACAAAATACACCATCAATCCACTTTACAGTGTATTCTGTTAAGCGCTTTGAGACGTCTCAAAGATGTGATAATGCGCTATATCAAATGCAAGGATTATTATTATTATTATTATTAAAACACCATCTACAATCCTATGATCCCTTCTCCCAGTTGGCAAACGTCAGATTTTAGACCCTAATACAGTTTTACAACATATTTTAACCAGCTGTCTTCGGTAGGAGGCTGAATTGTGAAAAGCTATGCTATGGTCAAAGTTCTTCTCAAAATTTACTGCGATTCAGCCCAAGAAACAGCCATCACTTTACTCCGGTTTGGATTCCAGTCCAAAATATTCATAATTTTCAGGATGCTGAACCTACTTCTAATAATGATAATAATCCTTGCATTTGATAATGGGCCTTATCGAGTCTTCGAGACATCTCAGTTCGCTTCACAGAATATACTGTGAAGTGAATTGACTGTATATTCTGTGCAAGAGAGACAGTAGCCAATTGCGCACAGGATTCAGTTAGAAACAAATGTTTGGTGAAACATTTAACAAAGCACTACTGTGAAAACGGTTAAAACTTTACAGGGACACTGAGATCCAAGTGAAGGATCTGTGATTTAAAGCTGATTAAGAGATTGCAAAGCTACATCAAGTACCTTTCTACAGAGTTCATAGACGTAGACATAAAGACTTGCATTTTTATAGTGTTTATAATGTCAAAATGTCTCAAATCGCACACAGTAAATGCTATAATTTGTTGGCAAAAGATGTAGCTTTTTAATGATCACCAATAACAATCCTTGCATTTGATATAGCGCCTTGTCACATCATTGAGACGTCTCAAAGCATTCCACAAAACATGTTATAATGTGAATTCACTGTGTATTTTGTGGGCGAAACGCGGCAGCTAATTGCACCCCGGGGCGCCTCACCAACAGTCGTGGGTTGAGGGACCAGAATCTTCTCCTTTTTTTAAGAAAAAAGGTTATTATTACTCGCAGAATGCAATCGCCAATCTACTAGCAACCCGGTTCCTACCTACTGCGAGGTAAACAGAGGCGCGGGGAGTACGGAAACTTGACTGAGGTTTCTACGCTATTATCTTTAGAAAGGACAAGCGATCTGACCAGGACATCGGGAGAAACTCCCTTCCCTTTTCCAATAGTGCTATGGGAAGTTTAATATCCACGTACATGACTTCTGGTTTAACTTTTCATTCGAGGGGTGTCAACAACAACAACCACAACAACTTGCATTTAAACAGCGCCCTCCGCACAGGGTAGCGAGCGCCTCAGAGGTTTTATCTCCTAGGATCACAGAATCCTACAGGGCAGAAGGAGGCCATTCTGCCCATTGTGCCTGTGCCGGCTCTTTGAAAAGAGCCACCAACTGGTCCCCGCTCCCTCCCTCCCCTCACCCCCCCGCTCTTACCCCACATTTTTCCTTTTCAAGTACTTATTCAATTCCCCTTCGAAAGCGACTACCGAATCTGCTTCGACCACCCTTTTAGGCAGCGAGTTCCAGATCGTAACAACTCTCTGGGTAAAAAAAAAATTCTCCTGGTCTCCCCTCTGGTTCTTTTGCCAATACAATATCTTTGACAATACGGAACGCCCCACATGCTGGACTTTGAGCGTCGGCCTAAACTAGGAACTCAATTCCGTCAGGACTTGAATCTGGAACTTCTGACACACGGACAGTAGAGCTACCAAGTGAGTCAAGATCCACAAGGCGTGTGTAATATCAAGAGGCTGTCTTAAAATACTTTTAAGGTAAGCAGAGAGGGAGAACCATTAATTGTACAATCGGTCTTGTGTTTCTGAGCTCAACCTCACACCGTGTTAGAATAAATCACAATATCTTGTCATCGAGATGCTTCCCAGAACTCGGATTTTCTTTGTTGACAACCGCTTCACATTGACGAGCTAATGTCAGGGAAAACTCTCATGCCCAACAGCCTTCCCTCGACTTCTTCCACTAATATCCACCAATTAACAGTACACACACTTATCATTTTCAACTCCTAAATGTGGTACTTTACTGTCATGCATATTAAAAAATAAACCATCTGGCATGATAATAATTATTCCTGCATTTGATATAGCGCTTTAACACATCATTGAGACATCTCAAAGTAAAGTGTTTCACGGGATATACTGTAAATTTACCCCGTGCTCGGGTCCTGACCCAACTGTCCAGCGCCTTGGGGCGTCCTCCCGACGTGAAAGGCGCTCTATAAATGCAATCTTGTTGTTGTTGTTGCAAAATGTAGTGACAGTATATTTTTGTGGGTGAAAAGCAGCAACCAATTGCGCACAGCACAAACAGTCGTGGTTTGAGCTTGGCCTACATTTTTTTAAGTTACCCCCGGAAAGCGATCCGCCAATCGACTAACAACCGGGTTCCTATTTACTGCTAGGTAAACAGAGGCGTGTGGAGTAAGAAAAGTTGCCTAAGACTTCTCTCCGCCCGGGAATCAAATCCGGGTCTCTTGTTTGCAGGCGAGCGTACTGAACTATTTACTTCTATACTATTCCATACTATTTACAGGTCCGTCAATGATTCTTCACATAGCAACCCTACGCAGTTAGTGAGATTATACAAACTACTCTCAGGTAAAAAGATAGCAGCCCACAACATGATGTCCTTACGCAATTCCTTACATGTTGAGAAAGTTCAAGATAAGCAATGCTGTTGGGAATACAATGTGATGGGAATACAATGTACTGCTGTTGGGAATACAATGTACTGCTCCATCCTGGGGTGCAGTTGATTACACAGCAACTCTATAGTACCTTATCCAGGTAGTCATTCTTCACCAGTGCAAGTGTTTGCAAACTATTTATCTAACGGTGGTAAAGAATGGAAAACAAAGTCTGATTCCTCACTCACTGACTCACTGACTGACTGACTGACTGACTCACTCACTCACCAACCACAACGCAGTAGCCTTCATGTGGGGTAGGGTCCCGGAGCGTTTCACAGCGGCGGAGTCTGACAACGAGCCAGGGGAGAGGGAAAGCGGGAGGTGACCGTAAGCACAATTAAAAAAGGAAGGTGTTTTGATGGGATTTGAAGGTGAGGGGGGAGTGGGGAAGGCAGAGGGATTGAGGGAGAGAATTCCAGACTTCAACTCAACACAGAGTTACCAACCTGAAATAATATTATTTCCTCCCTAACAGTCAGTCCAATTGAAGTGCTTTCATTGCTACCCGGCTCAGCTGGGTTGAGTAAATACAGAACAAGTACTGAACTGGATGCTTCACTACCACGAGAGATGGTTCATTTACCCACTGAACCATCGCCAAATCAATAGGATCAGTGCCCTTAGCAGCAGGAAAATGACCCACCCCGTGTGCTATTGATATTGTTTTCTTCTCGAGCATAGGAGAACAAGCGAGCGACTGATTTTGCAATGAGAGGTCAAAGATTGCTCTCGAAGCCAGTTCCCATCTACAGGAGAACAAGCCAGTTCTTAATGAAGGTTCAATCACAATGAGTATAGGATATGACAAGGCTGGCAGTGAATTACAATGCAGTCATTCAATTGAGAGTTTTAGTTATAAGGCACAAGAATACAGCCTGAATAAGCACAGCATTAGCACCAGAGTGAATTTTTGAGATGAGGGGGGGGTTGGGGGGAAGTGTTGGAAATCTAGGATAAAAGTGCAATCAATATTGGAAAGAGAAATAAAAGCTGTTTCAGTTGTCAAGGTTCATTGGAATCAAGTGGAGTTAAAAGTGTTCATTTTACTGGAATTTTAAACCCCTGAAAAATATTTAATTGATAATTTAAAAGCATATATTTTTTCAATTAAAATTAAACTAACAATCCTAAAAGAAACATATCAGATATTTTTTTTAAAAAAGCAACAGATTACTCTTACAAACTAAAACATCTAAAATCCTACTCACCAGAGTAAGTGTTTCTGTTCTTCAGTTTCTGAACTTCTCTCTTTTTCTTTTCCACTTGTGTAAATTGGAGAAGGGGGAAAAAAATAAAGGAGTGGTGGTGGTCGGAGAGGGAGAGATAAAAAGGAACTGGATTCTGTACAAGATTAACTCATCACACAGAGTCCTGGGCAAGCAGCACACAGCTGGAAGTGAGGAAAATCGTTGTCAAGCCCTTAACATCAGGAAGCACTCCTCTGCATGCCTTCGAATGTGTGTGTGTGTGTGTATGTGTGTATGCAGGAAGGGCGGTAGGGGTGGAGAAGGAGTGGTCTGGCTCCCTGCTGGTTCAACCTCAGGATCAGGAAGATCTAACGTCAGAATGGTGACCTTGCTTAAGCCGATCCCCAGCTGTCCCTTCCTGCGTCTCTGAAGCTGTTCTGGAAAGCAGGAGGCATCTTTGCGTTGGGCTTAACTCTAACCACTGGTATTCATTCGGTCCATCTTTCTTCCAGTGGGCATTCGCAGAACAAGAGGCTAAATTAAACTAAAGCTGGGCTTTATTTACCACGTTTCATGTGAAAAAAAAACTGCCAGTAAAATACACAGTCACTCCACTTTATAGTATATTCTGTGAAGCGCTTTGGGACGTCTCAACAGCGTGTTAAGGGTCCATATCAAATGCAAGGATTAGTATTACGTGGAATATATGCATACAATACAGTACTGCCGTTGCATAACCAAATCTGTCGCATTGTACATCAGTGGGAAAGGTAAATAAAACAAGACACATAACAACTTCGCCTTCAATATACACAAGTAATTCACTTTACAGTATATTCTGTGAAGCACTTTGAGATGCCTCAATGGTGTGATGTGGCGCTGTATCAAATGCAAGAATTATTTATTAACAATGAGAAAAAGGCAGAAATTTTCATTTTAGGAGCAGCTGCATCTTTTTTTTGTAAGAGTTCTTCCGCTGAGGAAGCTTTAATTACAAGCAATCTGCCTGATGACTTGACTGTATCAATCAATGCGTTTCTTTTATCTAAAGGGGGTGATTAAAGTCAGTGCCATTGTGGGAAGATGAGTAACCAGTAGATCATGTTAATCATGGGAACGCAGGAGAGGAGAGCAATCAATGAGCTAAAGTCATCTTAAATAATTATCATGGCCTCAGATCAGTTGCTTATTTGGATAGCTGACAGAGACCCACAGTAAATAGAGTCATTCTGGCGCTAACCCTAGTGGTATGTCTACAGGCTGTCAGAATCTTCACAATAGTAACCCTTGCATTTGAAATGGCGCCTTATCACGTCTTCTGGACGTCTGAAAGCGCTTTGTGCTGTAAAGTGTTTGTAGTGACTGTGTATTTTGTGGGCAAAACGCGGCAGCCAATTGCGCGCAGGACCGTCCCACAAACAGTCGTGGATTGAGTGACCACATTTCTTATTAAAAAGGGAATATTACCCCTGGAAAAGTGATTTGGCGATCGACCAGCAACTGGGTTCCTGCTTACTGCTAGATAAACAGAGGCGTGTGTGTGGAGTAAGGAAACTTACTCAATGTTTCGCCCCGCCCGGGAATCGAACCCGGGTCCTCTCGCTTGCGAGGCGAGCGCTCTAACCGCTGCGCTACAGCGCTTTGGGACGTCCTCCCGACGTGACAGATGCTCTATAAATGTTGTTGTTGTGCCGTCTCAAAGAGCTTCATAGGATATACGGTAAAGTGAATTGACTGTGTTATTTTGGGGGCGAAACGCGGCAGCCAATTGCGCACAGCAGCGTCCCCGCAAGCAGTTGTGGGTTGAGTGAACAATTTTTTTTGAGGGCTATTAGCCTAAAGTTTTGCCAGGCCTGGGATTCAGAGGATGAATACCGTCTGTCAGCCTGGTTAATCTCATCCCTTCCAGAATAATGACCCCACTATCTTTCCATTACAGAATTGGATTGTCTGCAAATGAATTCTAAATGCACTGAATTATTTTTCACCACCAACCTGTCTTGCTAATCCTGTTCCAGCCGCAGATAGCTCTCTGTAAATAAACACTTCCTGCTGCCTCTGCTAAACTAGTCGTTTACAATACCAAACCTGGTATTCTAAACCGTCCTTCAGATGAGACGTTAAACCGGGCTCCTGTTTGCCTGTCCAGCGCCTTGGGACATCCTCCCGACATGAAAGGCACCATACAAATGTAATTTGTAATTGTTGTTGGTGAGATCTCACTTAGAGACTGTGTACAGCTCTGGTCGCTGCAGTACAAAAAGAATATTGGAGAAATCGAGAAGATACAGAGGAGGGCAACCAAAATGATTGAGGGGATGGAAGGACTGGACTAAGAGGAGCGACTAAGGAACCTGGGCATGTTCACGCTGGGAAAGAGAAGATTGAGAGGCCACGGCATTGCTGTATTTAAGATTCTAAAGGGGCAAAACAACGTATATCACGACAGGCTGTTTCAAGTCGACCCGGATAGTAAAACCGGAGGATACACGGCCTGCGATTGAAGGGGTGAAATTCAGAACGAATCTACACAAACACTATTACAGTGAGCGAATAGTGAACCTGCGGAACAGGCTCTCTAGGGAGACGGTTGAAGTTGGAAGTGTTGATTCTTTCAAACGCAGATTAGACAGTTTTCTTTTAGGAAATAACATGATGGGATACAGTACATATGTGCATGCGACCGCCAGGAAGGTGGAAGGCGAACTAGACGACCCATGGTCTTTTCTCGTCTGGCATTTCTTATGTTCTTATGTTGTTGTTAATGATCCGATGGCACTATTTGAAAAGATAAGGGAGCTTCTCCCTGTCCCCCAGTGTCCTGGCAAGAATTCCCCAAATAAAGGTGGCCAAACATGGCTGTTTGCGGGACGCTGCTGCGTGCAAAATGGCTGCCACGCTTCACCCACAAAATACACGGTCACTACACTTTATTACAGTATATTCTGCGAAGCGCTATGAGACGTCTCAATGACGTGATAAGGCGCGATATCAAATGCAGGGATTATTATTATTAATGTTAATTCTAATACTGTATTTTTACAGTAATTGATGTGTATTAACTTGTCACAGAGTTGATACAATGGCCAGAGAGAACAGAGGGTTTAGGATTGACTTCAACTGAGATAACAATGTAGTTCTTTTGTGAATGCTTCTCTGTTGCAGGGCACAAGAAAGAATATAATCTTTTTTCTGGGAAGAGTAAAAGAGAATGAAACGTTGGCTTTGCCGATAACGTTGCTCTGTGCAAAACTGTCCCACATACCAGGAAATGCATTTGCAGATAAATGAGAAACAACTTCTCTATCCTACGTCATTCCAGGCGGCAATCAATCCTCTCGCTGAGGAAACTCGATGATACTAAGGCACATAGGGTTGTTAATAATGCTGTATTTGTTCGTTCTTTATCACAACGCCTCAAACAGCGTCAATTTGAGGAATTTGGCGCAATGTATTTTCTGGGAAAAGCAGTGTTGTAAGCAGAACAATCAACACCAAACATCCATTTATAGCAACAATAGGAGTTTTGATCGGAGCAGATAGGGGAGAAACTCTGACGGGCGGGTGGGTCGGCCGCTGGAGGACACAGATTTAAGGTAATTGGCAAAAGAACCAGAGGGGAGACGAGGAGAATTTTTTTTTAACCCAGAAAAGGTTGTGAGGGTCTGGAATGCACTGCCTGAAAGGCTGGTGGAAGCAGATGCGATAATAGCTTTCTGAAGGGAGTTGGATAGATACTTGAAAAGAAAACATTTGCAAGGCTATGGGGTAAGAGCGAGGGAGTGGGACTAGTTGGGGTAAGAACGGGGGAATAGGACTAGTTGGGGTAAGAGTGGGGGAATAGGACTAGTTTGGGTAAGAGCGGGGGAGTGGGACTAGTTGGGCTAAGAGTGGTGGAATAGGACTAGTTTGGGTAAGAGCGGGGGAGTGGGACTAGTTGGTGGCCAAAACGGGCCAAATGGCCTCCTTCTGTGTTGCACGGTTCTATGATCCAGTTGCCACCGTAAGCGGACCAAAGTGCCTATAACACTGAAATGTCAGTGTTAAGTGTTAAGTGTAGTGACCATTTCTAGTAGCCAATATCCCATGAGCAGCCAGGAGGTGAGTGACTCAATTTATTTGGCGGCTCTTTTCAAAGAATGGCCTCCTTCTGTGCTGTGTAATTCTATGGTATTGTTGACCGGGACACTGTGAGAAATCCTCTTTTCTTTTCGAGTAGTGCCAATGGATTCTCTAACATCCACCTGTGCAGGCAAACGGCACCTTGGTTTGAAGGTCTCCATCAAGTAAAGGCACGTTCGACAATATAGCGGTTCATTAGCACTCTGCTGCTCTGTGAATTCTGAAGTGGCAACTCCCCTGTCATCCCACGCACACATCTCTCCTGACCGCAAACAACAAACAAGCAGAGTAAATAACATTTCCGATCTGCACGTACGCGCGCATAAATTGCCTCCAAGCACTGATGCATCTGTGCGTGTTTTAAATGAATATTCCATTGCAATTGTTCATGTTGCGTCTTTAGTCAACCTGGAGAAGCTCCACCTATTCTGTTTACATCAACAAGGAGCCCCGTAGCGTATTGGTTAGAGCACTTGCCTCAAAAGCGAGAGGACCTGGGTTCGATTCCCGGGCAGACCTTAGGCAAGTTCCTTTACTCCTCATGCCTCTGTTCACCAAGTAGGAACCTGGTTGGTGGTCAATCGACTAACAACCGGGTTTGCTTAATTCCTTCCAAAAAAAAATAATTTGGTCACTCAATCTACAACTGTTTGTGGGACACTGCCATGCACAATTGGCTGCCGCGTTTTGCTCACGAAATCCACAGTCAGTTCACTTTACAGTATATTCTGCGAAGCGCTTTGGCGCTGTATCAAATGCAACTATTATTATTAACAGTAAGATATAATTCCTATTGGACTGGTTAAATCGTTAGCAAGGAGGCACAGTTTCAGCTCTATCACTGGAAGAGTTAAGGAAGAGTTAAGGGGGAAGTAAGAAGATAATGTTTTTATGCAGTGAGTTATTAGAGCATGAAATTGTTTTCAATAAGTACCAAATGCAGCTAAGACCATAGCATCATTTAAAAGGGAATTCAATACATTTTTGAAGAATGAGTCTAAAAATGTTTTTCCCATCAACAACAACAATTTAGGATGTCTTGGGTGCTTTACAATGATGGGGTCAGACTGCGAGCAGAGAGAGGGGGGGAAGAGTCACTACGTCTCTCCCCCTCCCTTGGACAGCGCCTTTGACAGCACCTTTAAGCGCTCTGAGACACCGCCCGGCGTGGAGGGCGCTATAAAAATGCAAGTTGTTGTTGTTCGGCCACCCTCCTACCTCTATCCTCCCCGCCCTCCACTCCTCCTCATCCCAACCCCCAGCTCGGGTGTGGATCCCTGACGTCA